TTAAAGCAAGCTTCGGGCAGGGGATTTTTTTTTTTTAATCTTCTCTTTGGCATTTCACCTTTTTCATCTGTCACATTTGATCCGGGGAACTTTTTATTTGGGGGAGTGGAAATAACACACACACACACCCGACTTCCCAAAATATTAGCCTTTGATCTAAAACTGGTTTTCTTTCGCACATTTTCCTTTACGACTTATCTTGGCACCTTCGGCGTTATTCAGTCGTCTCGGCTACTCGGGGTGTCTATGGAGGAGCGCTGGTTTCTATGGTAACCACGGACTGGAAGGTGGCCGGCTCAGGGGCGCAGGGCACACACCTGGGAGGCGTCCGGGCTGGTGCCCACCTCCCCTCAGTGGGCGTTAAGGCGAGAAGCCCCTTCTTCACTACATGCCTTGAGATCCTCAAAAAGGATGAGGGGCCAAATTTCTGGGGGTGCTATATCAAGGGACACTGAGAGGGGAGACAAAGAACTGGGAAGGCAAAGGCAAGATCTGCTGGTCACCGCACCGCGGGGAAAACTAACTCTTGTTAAGCTGCTGACCTCCGCGTCCAGCTCCTCTTCCCCGCCCCCACCCCCGCTTCTCCCCGATAAGCCCTGCGCCGCCCCCACCTTTCTGAGGGGATCCTGCCTCTGCGTGTTCTCTGGCTCGGCCCCTTCCCCAATCCCTGGCACAGGGCCCGCAACACAGAGGCAGCACCATAGACCCTGAGCACAGACGAGGAGGCCAGACCGCCTGGGTTCCCAGCTCTGTGGCCCCCAGGATGAGTGACTTCACCCCTCTAGGCATTTCCCATCTGAAAATGGGGAGAATAACAACTCCCTGAAAAGACGCTGAGATGACCCAGTGGTTAATACTTGCAGTTCGTCTACAGCGGTATTCACGTAGGAAGCGCTATCTATGTTTTGGGTGTTATTATTACAGGCTTATCTCGGGGACATGGTGGGTTCAGTTCCAGATTGCCGCACTAAAGCGAATATCACAATACAATGGGTCACACGAATCATTCGGTTTCCTGGCACATATATAAAAGTTACGTTTATACTACGTTGTGTCTATGCGTGCAATAGCATCATGTATAAAAAGATGTACATAGCTTAATTAAAAAATACTTCATTGCTAAAAAGAAAAATGCTAGCCATCGTCTGAGCCTTCGGTCACAACCCTTTTGCTGATGGAGAGCGTTGCCTTCGATGTGAAAAAAACACAACATCTGCGGAACAATAAAGCAAAGCGTAACCAGACGAGGCCCACCTGGGCATCGTACCAGACTTTACTGGGAATCGACAGGTCGAGTGAACAGACTATTCCGAGCGACGATGAAGCAATGACGGCAGGACAGGCTCCACGCTGGATATTCCTGCCGCCCGGACGCATTCCAGAGAAGTCCAAACCAGCGGGAAAACAGACCACGGCATTTTCTCAGCCTTAGGACTAAACGCCGCCTTAGCTAAGCAAGCCTCGTCGCATCGCCCCTCTAAGAGGCACCAGCCCTCCGCGGGTGAGTTTACTTTGGTAGAACTGCTACCTGAAGTCTGTCTTTGTGGAAGACACACCTGTTTGGGGCTGGGGACACCCGTCCAGGAATGAGAGGCTGTCACACTGTCTCTTGTATACTCTATTAAATATCCAGTTTCTAGAACCTCTCTCAGCAAATAAAAGCTGACCACACCTGCTTTTTCTTTTGCTTCCCACACCTAAAAATGAGGAGGTTTGAATTCTATCGATTAATGGGATTTCATGCAAATCACCTAAAATGCCTCTTTGCCTTTTTTCGGCTCTCTTGAGTGTAAATGAGCTTAATGTAATGACGAGTGACCATACGGACGGACGCCCCACCTTACCCACAGGGCCTAGGCAGAGGAAAGGATTCATTTATCAGTAGAGTTCTGTGGGGAAAAGTTAGGACGATGTTGACTCAAGCTCTCACTTCCTAGCGTTTCCCTGGCTTTCGCCGCCCAGCACCCTGTAGCTTACAGAGTCCACACTTGATCAGACTCAACCCTTACCATCCGCAGACAGCAGGTCGCAGGCCAGGCTGGGAAGCGGCCCCAGACAAGCTCAGTTCCCTGGATTCCGGCTCTAGTGCTCTTGCCATTCACCGACAGCTTCCAGATTCCTACAGCGTAGGCTGCCTTGGGCACTATGTCATCTTCTCTTTTTTCTTCCCTAACTCGACACTTGCGATTAGCTTACATGGCCAGCTAACTTCAGGAGACCCTATCCTGCTGTAGCCACCCCCTCCCCGTAGTCTTCAGGGGGGATGTACGAGGAGATGGGCAGGGGAGCCTGAGGAAAACAAGGATGCATTCACGACAGAATTTAATGATAGCAAAGGTAATTGTTTCAGCAGACGGACCCGGCGCTGTCACTGGGCCACTACTTCAGAAGCCATCTGCCTCGTGCAGTCTGGGAAATGTCCCCAGGAAGCAGTGGCGTTGCCACCGCCCGCCCAGGCACTCCCGTTCTCCATAGCACGTGCCACCCACGGGACAAAAGCCAGCCCCATAACCGCTACAAACTTTCCAACTCTCGGCAAAGCCGGGGAGAATAACTGTGAACATCTTTGTTTCGCAGAGATTCGTTGGTTATCTGCCGAAGAAGGCCTAACGAGAGATATTAATACAGAGGTGACACACGTTTTTTATGTTACAATGTTCTGTGATGAGAAACGATGGGCGAGAGTTTACTATCTAAGACAGCACTTTTCAAAAATAAAAGCCAGCAACAACGACGACGATCCACAGGTCTGCACCTTCGAGGTGAAGAAGAGTCTATTCATGAGTGAGAAAGTTCCTGCTTTCTAAAAGAAACTCATGCTTGTGGAGAATTATTTTGAAAATGTCTGACCGGAAGTGGTTCTGACATTGTGGTTTTTGTATTACCGGAAACAATGTGTTTCGCCTATAAAATTTTTGTCTGCGTATTTGAAAAACTAGGAAACAGAATTTTAAAATGTTTTTAAAATCTAAATGAAGCTTCTTGGTGAGTCCGAACCCACTTATTAAAAATGTAAAATGCGACACCTTCCAATCATTCATGAAGGACTCAGCTGACTTGGATGTAAATTTACTACCTGAATTTCAGTGAAAAGCCTTTGCACAGTGGTGAGTGGGATTGGAAAGTGAGTATGATTTAATAAATGTGAGTGAGGATACCTCTTTGATGGGTATCTTTTCGTTATGACAGCCATTAACAGTCACTAAAAACTATGATTTTTAAAATGTACTTCATCTTTCTTCCCACCTTTTACTATTTCTACTCGCGGGCATATTTTATAAGGTACGTAATAAAATACATATCAATAATTGTTTTAAAAATATTACATCTGTTGAGAAAGCATGGTAAGACAAGGTCAGTAGCCACGTGCCTGCAGACCACCGGCTCCGGTGTTCTGGCCTAGCGGGTGGTGGACTTGGGCTGGAGGCAGCTGATCTTTCGATTGCAACCTGCACCTGGCCTAGTTCAGGGGCAGTTCCTGGTTGTTCTAAGCCCTCAGCTGATGCTGATTGGTTCCTTCTTCCTCTTGCTGTTTGTAAACCCATCACTTCTGACTGCCGGGGTCGCTCAGCTCCCACCCACCAGTGACGGATGTGCCGGGGCGAGCGCGCGCACACGCACACGCGCGCACACACACACACACGCACACACACGCACACCCAGGTGGTGTGGGAGGGAGAGGACAGGCAAACAGAGGTGCCCGCAGGGCATCTTAAACTGCCGAAGCAGGAAGACAGAGTTCGAGCCCCAGCCCCATGAAAACGTTTCCCTGTTACACTCATTATCTTTCACTACCGCGCTTGGGACCTTCCGACTAATGTCACGCTACTTAGAAAGCCAGAAACTGCGGCTCCACGAGAGGGTCTGTGAAAACAGCCTGGTCTCGGCGAGGCCCCGCCGTCGGGGTGACACACCTGGCGCAGCCCCGCACTAAGTGCGACGCCCAGGCCCGGCGAGCGAAGGCTCTGTCCCCGCCGTCGAGGGGCGCCAGCAGCGGGGAGGGGCCGCGCCCGGCGCTCTCGCCACAGGAGA